TACGTACGTACGTACGTAACGAAGAAGAAAGAAAGAAAGAAAGAAAAGAAAGAAAGAAAGAAAGAAAGAAAGAAAGAAAGAAAGAAGAAAGAAAAGAAAGAAAGAAAGAAAGAAAGAAAGAAAGAAAGAAAGAAAGAAAGAAGAAGAAGAAGAAGAAGAAGAAAGAAAGAAGAAGAAAGGAAGGAAGGAAGGAAGGAAAAGAAAAGAAAGAAAAGAAAAGAAAAGAAAAGAAAAGAAAAGAAAAGAAAAGAAAGGAAGGAAGAGAGGAAGGAAGAGAGGAAGGAAGAGAGGAAGGAAGAGAGGAAGGAAGGAGAGGAAGGAAGAGAGGAAGGAAGGAAGAGAGGAAGAAAGGAAGAAAGGAAGAAAGAGTGAGTGAGGAAGGAAGGAAGGAAGAAAGAAAAAGAAAGAAAGGGCTCTGAATCTGATAGTTTTATTGGTGAATTCTACCAAACATTGAAAGAATATCAATCCTCTCAAACTTTTTTAAAAAATTAAAGAGGGAACACTTTCTAAGTCATCTTATGATGCCAGCATTACCCTAATACCAAAACCAGACAAAGACATTATAAGAAAACACTGATGCAAATCCTTAAGAAAATGCTACTAAACAGAATTCAGCAGCATACTAAAAGGATTATGCACCATGACCAAGTGGTATTTATTCCTGGATGCAAGTATTGTTTGACATATGAAAATTAATGTAATAGGCCACAGCAACAGAATGAGGGGGAAAAAATGATCACGATGCAAAAAAGAAAAAAAAGCATTTGACAAAATTCAACACCTTTTCATGATAAAAACACTCAACAAACTAAGGATAAAAGGAAAGTACCTCAACATAATAAAAGCCATATATGAAAAGCCCGCAGCAAACATGCTCAGTTGAAAAAGACTGAAAGTGTTTCTTCTAAGTTCAGGAACAAGGCAAGGACGCCTACTTTCCTCACTTCTATCCAACATAGTACTGGGAGTTCTAGCCAGAGCAATTAGGCAAGAAAAATAAAATAAATTGAAAAGAAGTAAAATTATCTGTTTGCAGATAATATAATATGTAGAAAATTCTAAAGATTTCACATGCGCGCGCGCACACACACACACACACACACACAGACCCTACTAGAACTAACAAGTGAATTCAGCGAAGTAGCAAGATACAAAGTCGGTATGTTAAAAAACAGTTGCATTCTATACACAAGCAATTAATAATCTGAAAAGGAAATTACAAAAACAATGTCATTGTTACACTGGCATGCAAAAGAGTAAAATACATAGGAGTCACCTTAACCAAGGAAGTGGCTGTATAATGAAAACTATAAACTATTCTTGAAAGATATTAAGACATAAATAAATGGACAGTAGATTACTTGTTAGATTGAGATCTAATCCTGCTCCGCCGTTTTGGAGAGCGATGCAGCTTCTCCAAGGATGCAGCATTAGATAGATCTGAAGTTTCCACGGACTGAGTTGTCCCTGATTCCCTGCCCGGAATCCTCTCTTCTCTGCCACACCTCACATTTACTCTTGAATTTAAAATGCTGGAATGGAAAAGGTCTTTACGTAGATTTAAAAAGAAATTTAAGTATCGCAGTTCTGGTTATTGTTATTATTCTCTTAAAACAAGAGGGCAAAAAATTTACCAAAAAAATTTACAAAAAAAAGAGGGCATAGATATCTGGCAAAAAAAATATTACCTGTTGAATTAGAGATGATTTCACAAATATTTGATATAGTTAGATCTGGTAATCAAAATAACCACAATTATCCACCAAAATACTACTTTTAAATAGACATAGAATGTCTGCTACATTTGAGTTGTGAAGCAGCATATTTTGGAGTTAAAATATATATATATACTAAAGTAAATGTTCTGTATTATTTTGCTTTTAACTCAAAGTCAGTTACATTTTACTCAAACCCACTGTGTCACTGTTAGAACACTCCCTGTGATATCTCAGCTCTTGCCTTTGGTATGAGAGCATCTTGTGGTGTTAAAGAGGAAGAGAGAAATATGTTTTGTTGGGCCCTTGCCAGGAGCCATGTAATCTTACACATGTAATCTTAAATTATGGATCAAACCCTAGGAAGTGGGTAACATAGCCCCTTCTGTGCAAATAAGGAAACTGAGTCTCAGAAAGATTAAACTACTTGCCCCAGATCAGGTCAGCCCGACTTCAGAGTCTGTCTGCTTACCCCATTCCTCTCCAAAATCCACTACCACATAAATATTTTATGAGTGCTGTTAAGGGAATATGTCCAGATTTTTCTGGTCAGGTCTGGGCATGTTCTGAAGCTTAATTTAATATTAAAAGTATGTAGATGTTAAGGAACAGAGAGAAAAGTTCTGATCAATTTTGAAGGAAAAATAATTTCATATTTCAATCCTGAGGTGACAGGCTTTCATACAAATGGTTTGCATAGCTTTTGTTTTAAAAAAAAATTGAACTGGAATGTTTTCCAGCAATAACAACAACAACAAAAAAGAAATTGCATAAACACATGTCCTCTGGGAACTCAGCTAGAGACAGTTGCGATGTTCTTTGTCGGCCCCTCAGGATGCTGTTTCCAAGTTCAATGTCACATCTACGCTGGCAAAGTGAGAATATTCTATAAGTAATTACATGCAGCCTGGATTTCTCTTATTTAATCTGGAGGTTCACCATTGCAAGCTCTAGAAGAGATCACAGTCATCTGCTTGTCTTTATACAGGGTTTGCTCAGAGAATCCCCAGGGAGGGGTGCAGCCCCGGGTCAGTGACTATGATGGAATTCAGAGACAGAAAGACATGCAGATGCTTTAGTACATTCCTACGGCTTAGGCAGTGAAGCCACAGCAGGGTAATTCCAGACATCCTCAGAAGGTTTGACAGATTTGACAATTTCCTCCCTGTAAACCTTGCTTGGAATATTTAGAACTTCTTAGTCTCCTATCAGAGAATAGAGTGTCCTATGGCATTCCATTTCTTTCGTGACTGAAACTTAAACTCATGCCAATTTAAAAATCATTATCTTTAAATAGAACTCTTCATAGATTTCACAGTTCAACAGAACCTATGTACTGATCGTAACCTCTCTTCTGCTTACAGTTTGGGGTTACCGCTAAGAATATATATATATATTATATATATATATATGTATACGTGTGCGCACGCGCGTACGCATTGTCTTGGAGCATAACAGTAGTAACAAACATTAAGCATTGCCATACTAAAAGCTGTACATACATTAGCCCATTTAATTGGTAAAGTAGCTTTGTGAGGTCAAGATCAACACCCCCATTTTATAGACCAGGACACTGAGGCCTGGGGAGGCTAGTATGTTAGTTGCAAATATAACTCAACAGTGAAGGAGAGCTGAGACTGGGGCCAGTCAGTCCAGCTCTGAAGCCCTCCTGTGGGCACAGGAGCCCTGGTCAGAGCTTCAGAGTGAGGACCCAAGGCTCACACAGCACATTGGGGGCACTTACTAGGTTGTTGTTAGACCTTCCTTTCCTCATTCACTTGCTGGTTTATACTTGAGTCCAAAGTGGCTGTGGTGACCGTGACCTGAACCGAGAAGAGTGTCACCATCCATTTAAATATCTCCACGTGAACATCTGATTACTCCCAGACATGTAAGCTTCCGGTGCCTCGTCTCTTCTTTTTTTTAACACTTTTTATTGATTTATAATCATTTTACAATGTTGTGTCAAGTTCCAGTGTTCAGCACAATTTTTCAGTCATACATGGACATATACACACTCATTGTCACATTTCTTTCTCTGTTAGTTACTACAACGTTTTGTGTAAATTTCCCTGTGCTATACAGTATAATCTTGTTTATCTATTCTACAATTTTGAAATCCCAGTCTATCCCTTCCCACCCTCCGCCCCCCTGCCTCGTCTCTTATTTCAGGAGAATGGTTGGGGATATCCTGTGGTGATGTGTTTTGGAAGGAAATTGAGAGCAGTTACTTTTTTTTTTTTGTAGGACCTGATATTTGTGGATTTGATATTAAGAAAGTTCATGTTATTTTACATTTCAAGAATCAGTATCACTCAAACAAGAAATCAATCAAGTGTAAGGTAAATGCTTTCATATTCAAATCAGTGATTATGTCAACGCTTGACAGATGATAACGTAAGTTTATAGAAAATAGTTTTGAACTTAAAATATTTAAGCGAACCACGGATGGGCCTTGTCTGTCCTGTCCCTGGTTTCCGGTTTAGTGGGCCCATTAAACACGCTCGCCCACCGCTTTGATTGGATGGTTTCTGAAGTTTTTGCACACCAGGAGGGCACATTTACTTCTCACTGTGAACTACAACATCAATGTATAATTTGCCCCATAAGGGTTACAACAGGATAGTCACGTTTCAGCTATACCCATGGTGGAGGAATGAAATCTTCAGGATGGAAAAAGAAAAACATTCTGGAGAAATTCATCCTCAAAAGTACCAAAATATTTAAAAATGAGATGATTTCTAAAAAGAAAGAATACACTCTATACCGTTTTACCCAGGAGTCCTGTGAAAATGTCACTTAAGGTCTTAGAGCTTGCTTTATAACTCAGTGGCCCCACCCCGGGCTTCTCCAAAGAGGCAGCTTGCATTAAGTCCATGGTGCGTGGACCTGCGGAGGGGAAGTATACTCCCCAATGTGTCCTCCTCCCCACTTTAAATGTAAGCACCGAGAAGCAGGGACCTGTCCCCTGGGGCATCCCCAGCACCCATAGCCTGTGAATCTGGGCAGGATGCCCTTGTGTGTTTCAAAATCATTGACAGAATGGAGGGGAGGCATCCATAATGGTCCCTCATTCAGTCCCTACCTGAGCAGAGGACACTTGGCCTCACAAAGCCCTGGTGAGTATTGACACGTGGTTTCTCTCGGGGTCCCACTTCCTGGCTTGGTGTTTCTAAAGAATCAGTGGGTCCCCACCCTGTACCTGGAGGCCTGACACCCCTCCCTTGGGGGTGAGGGGGAGCTCGAAATCCAAGTCTTCCTCACCCACCTTAGTGTTGGACTAGAGGGTGATTCCCAAGACTTTGTTTTCAGTGGCAGAGCAGGTGTGTGGGAGAGAAGGAGTGACCTCAGAGGCTGTAAGGTTTGACCGAGATTGTGCCTGGGAGGCCAGAGCTTTGTCACCTGGGGTCAGCAGTCTACAGGGCCCTGAGCAGCACAGCAGGCTGGTGACGCCCTCAGTTGGGTGCTATTTCTGCAGCCTGTTAGAAAAATGAGACAAGTCCGTTGAAGGTGCACTGGAGCACTGGGTCACAGCGGCTAGTCAGCATTATGGCCTCCTCAGTGAGGAGCACCGTTATTTTCGGAGCTCTGATTCACTCTGTGATGCTGTAAAAGAAATGCAGCAGTCAGCCCTCAAGGGTTTTCAAGGAGGCAGTCTGGTTAGCATGTGAGAAAAATGCCTCAGCTGTTTGAGGGGAGGGACAGAGTGAACAACAGGCAGGAAGGTGGGTGAGATGGTCAGGTCAAGTCTTCAGCGGGATACAGATCACAGGAGCATTTTAACAGATGACTCAGATGCAGGATCCAGAGGTTTGGAATGAGGGTACCAAGGGTGTGGGTGATGGCTCTTAGCAGCATTGCTGTTAAACAGGAAGAGAAACAGGAAGGGCCAATAAAGGGGCCACGGCAGACTCCGGGGTCGTGTTTGGAAAGGTTGGTTGTGAAATCCTGGCAGACATCAAGGTAGAGGTGTCTAGTAAATTGTTGGAAACTCAAGTCTGAAGCTCAGGCTAATGGCTGGGGTTAAAGCTGTTGGTTTGGAGCTGTTTGTATATGTTGGGATGTGGATGTTCCTCAGAAAGCTCTGTGCTTGTGGCCAAATCTCAGAGGGTGCTGGGCATGGGGCCGGCAAGCCCAAAGTCTAATTTAAGACAGGCAGGTGGAGAGTACGGGGAGAGATTTTGGAGAATTGTGAACTCAGCTGTCACGGGGGGTTGTGGGGGACACAGCCGACTGTAGTGCTGATCCCAGACAGAGTCTTTGGCCATGGTGCGGCAGAGGGGTATGAAAAAGCGTTTTGATTTGGATCTTAGCAGGGAAATTCCTCGTAACAGAGCGTCTAAGATGCTGGGGCAGTGGTTCCCAAACCTGAGCAGCATCAGACACCCTGGAGGGCCTGTGGAAGTCCACCGGGTTCTGTTGCAGCAGGTCAGGGCTGAGCCAGGAATGGGCATTGCCCATGTGCCCCCTGTGATGCTGGTGCCTCTCGGTCATGCTTTGAGAACTGCACTGGGGTATGGTGCAAGGGTCCCCTCCACGGCTGACAGGCAGCCACGTCCTGGGCACCCCCAGCCTCCCCAGGCACCCCCCCCACCTTCCATCCCTCCCTTATTGAATGTTTGTTAAATGCTTCCCTTGGCTCCAGCCTGGGGCTTTAACTATGGCCAAGAGAGGCACTGGGCCTGCCCTGCCTGAGCTTACATTGTTGGGCAGAGCATTAGAAAATTCTCCCCTGTACTGAGAAATAGAATGGGCTTCATTTGGTAGCTTTTAGGATCCAGAACTGGAAGTTGTTTTCCACATAACTTTTCCTAAATCAAACAGCACAGTGGTCTCTTGGTTTATACCAACCACCCCATCATGGCTGCCTGTGAGATTATAGGTGGAAGCCATTGTCTTTGCACAAAAGGAGATCAGCCACTCAAGAGGAGGCAGTAGTGAGGAAGGATTCTGCAAAGGGTCATGTGAGTCTTCCGTACGACACCCTTTCACAGTCAAGGCGACTGCTATTCCTCAAACGTCTCTTTTTGCTGTTTACCACAAGGCTTTGGCCCGTGACAACTGACACTGCACATCTAGACTGCCTCGAGATATCAAGGGTCTCATTCTTTTCCTCGTCTCCCCCCAAAACATGCAGGTTGATGCCTTTACACATCTCTATACTCTGGTGTTAAGACCAGACCTCACTTACGAAGTGAAAATTGACGGCCAATCAATTGAATCCGGCAGCATAGAATATGACTGGCACCTAGCATCACTGAAGACGGCGGAGAAGGCTTCGGCAGAGGCTAAGGAGTGGAATGAGGCTACGGATGACAAAGCCCAGGTGGGGATGTCCCCTGCATAGCATTAGCAAGTGTACACACTTAGCTTTTAAGTACCCAGGTACCCTACAAGTGTGGCATGGCTGGTTTTGACAATGTTGTAGCCATCAAAATGCCCTCCCCAGAGCATATGCGCTGAAACCAACCACCTAGCTGCACGCTCCAAGGTACTGTGATTTTTTTCAAGGTATTTTGAATTTTAAAGTGTTTGAGATGAAAGCAAGTGAGGTTTACTTAAAGGAAAATGTATCAGCAACCTTTACAAAAGTGATTTTTTTGGGTCATCCTGAATTTGAATGTGGTAGGTTTTTTTTTTCTTTCCTACCCCTCCGCTTTTTTTTAAATTGAAGTATAGTCAGTTACAATATGCTGTACACCAGGAACTGATACAACATTGTAAACTGACTATACTTCAATTTAAAAAAATTACATCACAATGTAAAGCATTTATCTTTTTAAAATTAAAACAATTTTAAATTGAAGTATAGTCGATTTGCAATGTTGTGTTAATTTCTGGTGTACAGCATAGTGATTCCGTTACATTCTTTTTCATTATAAGCTATTATAAGGTAATGAATATAGTTCCCTGTGCTAAACAGTAGGACCATATTGTCTATCTATTTTATGTATAGTAGTTAATATCAAATTCTGAACTCCCAATTTATCCCTCCACCCACCTCTCGCCTTTCCCCCCTGGTAACCACAAGTTTGTTTTCTGTATCTGTGAGTCTGTTTCTATTTTGTAAATAAGTTCATTTGTCTCATTTTTTTAGATTCCACATATAAGTGATATCATATGGTATTTTTCTTTCCCTTTCTGGCAGTAAGTCATTTATCTTAAGACAATTGTCTTTGCCGTAACTAAGAGTATGGTAACTGCTGTTTACAATTAATTTCTGGCAACTTAAAACTTAGTAGTGGCACTGCTGTCTAATAGTCAAACACTTCATCATTGACTGAATGTAATTATTAAATTAAAATGGCATCTTGTTTAGAATTATATTATTTGGCAATCCTTTTTATCATAGATAATCAAAAGTAAGCTTCTATGAATTTGGAATCCATGGCATCCAATCAATGAGAACATCTTCAGATTAGAGTAAAAAATCCTAATCATATAAGGCTTCCCCATCATTTCTCAAGGAAGAAAAAAAAAAAGCAAAGTTTTCCTCTCCCTCTCTTAACCTTCAAACCAAACTAAAAAAGCAGTTTTCATCTGGAAAGAGCACCGACTTTGAACAAGGCACAGAACTGCAAAGAAACTGACCCAGAATCCTCAGTAGGATATTAAGGTCTTGGGACTGAAATCCTGGCTGCCTCTGGGCTATGAGGACACCATCCCAGCAGTGAGGGTGTGCCTTAGTGCCGAGTGTACGTGAGGTGGGTCCCCAGAGGAGTCAAATCATCCTTCCAGAAAGCTCATTCCCAGACTGCCTGTGTTTTTTCTGCATGCTCAGTTCTGTGTGCTCTGCTAAACAATGTAGTTCCTTATGGTGTTATGATTTGATAGTCTACATTAGAAGGAGCTGGCTACTCAGATTGAATTATGATCATTTCCTAGATCCCAACACAAGGGTGGCTCATCTGTTGCCAGTGAGGTCAGGGCAAAAAGCAGTAGGAGAGGTAATTAACTCCCATGTGCCATTGTTAAGTTATAGAGGATGATGGAAAAGCCACAGTCTGAGTGCAACACTTTTAATATTTCTGTTATTCTAAAAGAGAAAACAGCATTGTACATGACTTTTATGCTTTTATGAGTTTATTTGAATATTATTAATCCATAGCAACTTTTTCTCATCCATTTATTCAACAAATATTTACTCAACACCTACTAAGTCATATACATACATAGATGTGTGTATATATGCATGTGTATAAATGTGTACATACGTATAGATGTGTGTATATATACGTGTATAGTGTGAGTGTATATATATGAACTCAGTAATATAACTGCTTTTCTCCTGCTACCCAGAAGTCCTCAGTTAAATTTTGGAACATTCCTTAGTCATCCAGCTTCTCTCTAGAACAGTCCATTTATGACCATGATGTAGAAGACTTAACCTAACCAGCAGTAAATGTGGCCCCTCCTCCTATCATCACTTTTTGCCCCATCATTTTAACTTTGGCCACTCTTTTGAGTTTTCCACACTGCCATTCCTCTCAATAGCATGGGAAGAGTGCCATAATCACATGGAGAGTTAGGGAGAAAAACCTGGCAGTGCATGCCCCTGAAGCCCCCGATGTGATTAGAAACCCCTGCACTCAGCCCTTGGACCATCAGACCGAGGAGGAGACGGGAACATGCAGCTAGGGTCACTGGCCTTCCCCTGCCTCTAGGGAGTTAAGAATTCCCTTTCTCAAATCTGAGAATCTAAATTTCACCCCCCACGTGTATTTTAAGGAGTGGGAAAAGCATTTTCTGGATGCCAGTGCCAGCAAGCCGAGCGACTGGAACAGTGAACTGGATGGGGACTGGCAGGCGCCGATGCTGCAGAAGCCTCCTTACCAGGTGTGTGGTGTCCTCTTCCCACCAGCCCCGCCCCACCCATGTTCTCCCAGACCACCACATATGGTTTATTGTTGCAGGATGGCTTGAAACCAGAGGGAATAGCCAAAGATGTTTGGCTGCATCAGAAGATGAAAAATACCAACTATCTGACAGAATATGACCTCTCAGAATTTGAGAACATTGGTGCCATCGGACTGGAGCTTTGGCAGGTCACTTGGTTTTGCATTTGCTTTAGTTTAATAACTCTGGGCTTCAGCCTAAACTCCTTACTTCACACAGGTAGTATGTGAGCTCCTACTATGTGCCTGGCACCCCTAGCTGGACCCAAGACATACAGCTGTGGACAAAGGGCACTTCTTGCCCGCCTGCCTGCTCCCTGGGAATTTGCTTGGAGCTGACCTGTGGTGCGCATCAGCTTTAGGATAAGATTGCAGATTCTGATGCAGCAGGTCCAGGGCAGAGCTCGAGATTCTGCATTCCCTGCAAGCTCCCAGCAGTGCTGACGCTGCCAGTCCACAGCTCACACTTTGCACAGGAAGGTTTTCGAGGAGTGGTTCTCAAACATTGTAGAATGTTCAAGTCACTGGGGAGCTCTCCAAAATCTTGATGCCCCACGAGTACCCCAGACCAGCTAAATCAGCTGGTGAGACCAGGCATTAGGAGTTTTAAAAATGCTCTTGGTGTGCCCACTACACAGTCAAGTTTGAGAACCAGTGCCCTGGAGGGAACGAGTGTTCTAGAAATGGGTTTAAGCATGTTCTGCTATTGATAGCTCATCACTGTTACAGGACCAAGCAAATTACGATTGTTCATTTTGTGGAAAGTTTCACTTTTCACACTGGTAATGAAGGCCTTATTTTCATCCACAGGTGAGATCCGGAACCATCTTCGATAACTTCCTGATCACAGATGATGAAGAGTATGCTGACAACTTTGGCAAGGCCACCTGGGGTGAAACCAAGGTAGAGTGACCACAATGAACTTTTCTTTCATTATTCATTTATTTCCGTACTTGAGACTCACATATAGGAAAGGGCTCAATGAATTTTTACTACTTAATGCCCCACCCAGATCAAGATACAGAACGTCACTTGAGCTCCAAGAACTTCCTCACGACCTTTCCCAGCTGGCCCCCATCCCCAAAGGAAGGGGGGTTCCACCATTCAATCACTATAGATGGATTTGACCCCTTTTGAAATTTATATAAACGGAGCCACCCATTATTTATTCATTCAGGCAGTGTTGTGAGCTTCACTTGTATTTTCGCATATAGCAGTAGCTTGTTCTTTGTGAATATTCCAGAAGGTACGCATCCATTCTCTTGGATGCAGCTTTGGGTAGCTTCTAGCTTGTGGCCTCATGGATAAAGCTGTTATGATCTTTCCTGTATGTGTCTTTCTGTGGACACATGCCCAGGAGTGGACAGGCAGGGTCACATGTTCTTCCACAGTCAGTTTTCAGTGTGTCATCCTATTTACATTGCCCTCTGCAGTGGATGAAAATTTCAATTGTGACACGTCTTTGGCCACACTTGGTATTATTGTCAGTTCTTGTTGATGAATCAGATTTATTGAAGTATAATTTACATACGGCAAAGTGTACAGTTCTGGGAATTCTGATAAACACATAGAGTTGTGAAACCCCTACCAAAAATCGAGTAGAACAGTTTCTTTCCTGGCAAAAGTCTCCTTGTAGCCAAGCCCTCCCCGACTCCGTCAGCCGCTGATCTCATACCTGTCCCTCTAGTTTTGCCTTTTCCGGAATGTCATAGAAATGGAATCATACAGTATGTGGTCTTCTTCAGCCCGCTTCTCTCACCAAGCTTAGTGTCTCTGAGATTCATCCTTGTTGTTGGAGGTCGGTCAATCCTTTGTTTCTTCATATTACTGAGTAGTTCATCTGACGGACATCTGGCTTGTTTCCAGTTTTTAACAGTATGACCAAAGCTGCTATCGGTATTTGCATATAGTTTCTTACGTGGATGTGTGCGTTTCATTTCTCTTAGCTAAATACCCGGGAGGGGGTTGCTGAGTTGTATGGTGTACGTTTAGCTTTATGAGAAACTGCCACTGTTTCCAGAGGGGCTGCACTGTTCTGCAACTCCTCCAGGCCCACTGGCACTGGGGATGGTGGGTTTCTGTAGGTGTGTAGGGTAGCTCTCTCTGGTTTCGTTTGCATTTCCCTGATGACACACGAAGGTGGATGCTGTTTCATGGCTCTTGTGGCCATTTGGGGATCCTCTTTTGTGAGATACCTGTGTTTTAAGATGTAGGTTTTGTTATTATTCAGGTATGGTGAGGCTGGCGGATCAGGAGATGATTTTCTGCCATCAAAAAGATTGCTTGTTTGACTCATAGATCCCAAGAAGAGGGGGGAGCCCACACCATGCCCTGCAGGGCCACACGGGGAAGCACCAGGGCTGATTAAGGAGGCAGAGGAAGAAAATGTAGGCAAGATACTTTGTTTTGGTTTCTGCAGGCAGGAATAGGTAAGGCAGGACAAGCCGGTTTAGGATTGGCTGGTTTTAAGAATTTCAGTGGGCTCCAGGGTGCAGGGGCTGCCCTTAGCTGTCTATCACCTGGCTGTGGGGTAATTAGGACAAGGAGATATCAGCCCTGAGTATAAGAGCCTGATGGAGGAGCTGGCTAGGGATGTAGGCTCTGCATGTAGTCTGCATATGGCATGGACTGTCTCTAGGAATTGGCCTCCTGGGCGGGCCATCCCTCCAAGGCCAGCAAAGCTCCAGATGTCAAAGCTGAAGGAACACACAGTTAATACAGCTTGTTTATGTCACTTGCTCACTTCCATATTGGGTTTTTGACCTTTTCTTATTTAGTTGTAGATCTTATTTATATATTCTAGCAAATTCTTTGTCAGGTAAATGTATGGTAGACATCCTTTCCCCTCTGTGCCTTGCCTTTCCATTCCCTCAAATGTATTTTTTTCTCCTGTATTTTTTTAAAATGTGTATTTTGAGGTCCTTATATGGAGAAACCAACTTAAAAATTTAGCTCTGACTTTCAATAAAGAAGCTAAAGTATCTTCCATCAGTACAAATTCATTTATAACTCTTTGGAGCTGAAGTATTGACACTTAAAGTGCATGCTTTTAATGGGCATAAATGTTTTGTTTCTTGGGTCATTAAATGCCAGTAACTGAACAGTGGCATAGCTTACCTGGATGGAGAAGGCAGCCAGTGTTCTCTGGGAGCCATGACTCAGAGAGGAAGGTCTTAGAGAAACCCCCACATCATTTTAGCCAGAAACTTTGGATTGTTTAATTGTATGCCAGTGAGTTTAAGTTATGGGTGATACACAAAACATCTTCCTGCTTTTAACCGCAAGCCCCTCATTCCCTTATCTTCACGGATGAGGCTTCTTCCATATCGTGAACGTCACACTGAGACTCACTGCAGGGCTGGTGCTTAAAACTGGAACATTTCACGGCATTTTAGGGGGAAAATTGCCCTCCATTGCCTAAAGGTGTTTGAGGCGATTTGCTCACGAGCCATTTCATCCTTTCCCCAACGCCTTCATGGAGGTATTGGGGATTGAACCCAGGACCTTCTGCATGCACTCTACCACTGAGCTATCCCCCCACGAGTCATTTCATCTTAAATCTGATTTCTGCCACAAAGCCTTACTAAACTCTTTTTCCATAGTGACTACAGGAAAGTTCTTGCCGCATCTGCACTCACTTCTACACCTTCTTTTAATCACACATGTCTGGATTTTCTCATTTGAGCTCTGAGGCTTCTCTCATGGCCCATCCACTGGTCAGTTGGTTGAAGAATGGGCCCAAGTGCTCCGGGAGTAAAATGAAGGCAGTGTGAGTTTCCTGGGGTGGCCAGAACAAATCACCACAAACTTGCTGGTTTGAAACAACACGAATGTATTGTCTTGCAATTCTGGAGGCTGGAAGTCCAAAATCAGTATCGATGAGCTGAAATTGTTACCGAGTCCAAACTCGTTCTTCTCACCACATAACAGGCCAATAAATTGGGAGATGAGGTGTTGCGGCAAGCAATCACAACTTTATTCAGAAAATCAGCAGACTGAGAAGGTGACAGACTAACGTGCTGGAGAACCATCTTCTCCAAGTCAGAATTCAGGCTCCTTTTATACTAAAAGGGGGGGGGGTGTGGTTGGTTGTTGCAAACTTCTTGGCATCGGAATCTTTTGTTCTTGCAGCTGTCTAGGTAGGTCAGGTCACAATGTTCCTTTACACTTTCAGCAAGACAAATATTATTCTCT